ATGATTGTGTTGTCTGTTAGCAGACTTCTACGGAGCCTCCCCAAAAAAGATTGAAATTGAAGATGTATTTTTGCGAGATCCCGCAGAAAGTTTTTAATTCAAGTCCATGCACTTCCAGGTCATGAACCTTGGAAAAAAAACCATAGTGATGGAAGACAAACACCTGTGGGAGAGATTCATAGAATTTTATTTTGAGCTTGGCCTAAACTATGAACACAGTGCTTTGCTTTACACATGGTTTTTATATAAGTGAGAGACATCTGAAGAGACTTCTTAGTACCAGTTGAAACACTTGAGGCAAAGTGTACTCTGACCTGGTGGACTTGGTTGGTAGAATACATAAACAGCTAGCTGGAGTATCCTGGATAACTTTACGGGTACCTATTGAAGTACGATAAATGCAGGATCACTCTTGCGGGGCTCTGTAGATTGTGGCAATTGCTTGTAGTGCTTGTAAGATGCCAGATGCTGCTTTTTGTCACACCCTAGCTGGAAAAAGTTGTCCTTTTCCATCAGCCTTGTACAGCTAAAGGGGTTCAAAAGTTCAATGCAGAAATGGAGAACATTTGCTTTCAAAGCAAAATGTCTGCATTACTGTTGAAACCAACACACCTTCAGAAGGCACAACTTTTAATTTGAAGGCAAACAGTCTTTGTTTAGGGTGACAGATTGGTGAGATGTTGCTTCATTCACACAAACTATGGGTGATTTGCTAGTCATCAAAGCACTCACAAGGAGGTTTTCAATAGTTTTCAGCAACCAACAGCAATGATTCACAACTGCTTAGGGAATAAACAAGCTGTAGTTACCAGGCCTTTGAAGTAAAAGTTGCCAGTAATTACCCAGCGTCTCTATACCTGTGTGACTGTGGCCTTATATACAGTGCAGCATCCTGTAAAATCATACTCATTACAGTCTGTAGTAACTACTAAATATTACTCTGCTCATGTAAAAAAGGGGATAAAATGCTGAAGTTATATTTGGCTGTTTTGTGAGATTATATAGCTCTGCTCTTAAAGCTAATTCCTGTTCCTTCTTTGTGCTGAGTGTAAAGAGTAGAGAGCTCTGTTCAGCAGGCTTTTTTTTAATGTTTGTTTGTTAATTATACACCTAAACCACATAATCCTAACAGGGACGTTTTGAATGGGTACTCTGCTAATGGCAGTGAAATTACGAAATAAACTCCTTCTGTGGAAAAAGTCACGTTGTCAACATGCTGTCTCACTGCAGTTTCTGAAGATGTATTGTAGTATCTTTCAGTTCATTGTGTTCTTTTATGCCCTTTCACTTTTCTAGCAACCTTTTTTTCCCAAACAAGAAGTTGCTATATATATTTTTGTAATGGGAAAAAGACTAAACCCCCACTTTATACTACCTACTCAGCACCAAATGGAACACAGGTACTGTTAGCAAAGCAGACAAAAGGGCAGATATTTTCCCCCAAAG